AGAAGCAGCAGCAGCAGCAGCAGCAGCAGCAGCGGCGGCGAGGGCGGCGGGTGCACAGGCGGCGCCGGCGACGCGCAAGGCGGCGCAGCGGGTGCAGCAGCAGCAGCAGCAGCAGCAGCGGCGGAATTGCCGCAGCAGCAGCGGAAATGGCATTCTGCGCGCTGCAGCAGCTGCAGCAGCAGCAGCAGAACTAGCAGCAGCAGCAGCAGAACTAGCAGCAGCGGCAGCAGCAGCAGGTTGGGCTTTTTGAACGATAAGAACTGGGTTTGAATTAAAAGAAACTCGGGGACTTCAAAAGCTCCTTTTCTGCATTTCGACACTCTAAACTCTAAACCCTAAACCCTAAACCCTTAATTGCTGCTGCGTAGAAGAAGCTGCTGCTGCTGAACAAAAAGTGTACCCGTCCTGTAGGCAACAAAACAAAAAACACAAACTAGGGTTTAGGGTTTAGGGTTTGGGGCCTAGGGTTTCAGATCCAGTGCTTCGGGCTAAGGATTCCGGCCACAGCTTCCGGTATTTAGGGTTTAGGGTTTAGGGTTTAGGGTTTAGGGTTCCGACCCTGGCATCTGGTGCCTCTAGGGTTTAGGGTTTAGGGTTTAGAGTTTAGGGTTTAAGGCCTAGGGTTTTGGCCATGGCTTTTGGTATCTGTAGGGTTTAGAGTCAAGGGTTTAGGGTTTAGGGTTCAGAGTTAGGGGTTAAGGGTTTAGGGTTACGGCTTTAGGGTTTAGAGCGTTAAGAGTCTAGGGCCTGGGGTTTAGGGTTAAGAGCCAAGGGTTTAGGGTTTAGGGTTTAGAGTCAAGGGTTTAGGGTTTAGGGTTTAGAGTCAAGGGCTTAGGGGGCTACGGCTCTAGGGGGTAGACCCAAGGGCTTAGGGTTTAGGGTTGAGGGTTTAGGGGGTTGCGGCTCTAGGGTTTAGAATCAAGGGCTAGGGTTTAGGGTTTAGAGGGTTAAGAGTCAAGGGCTTAACGTCTATGGTTTAGAGACAAGGGTTAGGGTTTAGGGTTTAGAGTCAAGGCCTAGAGTTTAGGGTTTAGGGTTTACGGTGACGGCTCTAGAGTGTAGAGTGAAGCCCTCGGGTTAAGGGTTTAGGGTTACGCCTTCAGGGTTCAGAGTCAAGCCCTAGGGTTAGGGCTTAGAGTCAAGGCCTAGGGTCTAGGGTTTAGGGTTTAGGGTTTAGGGTTTAGGGTTTAGGGTTTAGGACCATGACGTCGAGGTGCAGCCAGTCGCATCCTTCGTCGACCATTTTTTGGGCCTCGTCGGTGAGTCGCGAGAGGTCACTGGCGAGCACGGAGGGAGCGATGATGGGCTTTGGGGGGCTCATTTTGGCGCAGGGAGTTCGAAAAGGAGGAAATTGGCGCAAAATAAACGCCGGAAAAGAATAAAAGAAGAAATGAAGGCGAAAACAGGCGAAAAACGCGCGGAAAAACGGAAAAAAACGCGAAAATTGCAGAAACCCAGCGTGAACCCGCCTCGGGCTCCGCGGCTGTCAGGAAGCCCCTCCCGAAGCCACCACGGCCTCCAAAACCCCAATATTAATCAGTCTTTCAATTCTTTTATCATTTATTTTCTTAATTTGCGTTTATTGCAACAAAAGTGAAGCGTTTGAGCCGAAGATCGCCGCCGGCGGCCGCAGCCGCCACACACCAGGTGTACAGACACCCCAGCGCCGGGGCCCCAAAGCAGCTTCGCTTCTCATGAACGAACTACAGTTTTGCTTTAATTTAATTTAATTTCATTTAATTTAATTAACTTTTAATTCTTTTGAACTTCTCCAGTCTGTTTATTTATCCATTTTCGCCCACAGATCGCCCGCGAACGGCGGGGCCCCCAGGAAACAAGGTGTTCCACGCCCTAAACCCTAAACCCTAAACCCTAGACCCTAAACCCTAGAACTCGCTTTTGAGAACTGGAATTCCACTCTAAACCCTAGATCTTGATCTGTAGGAATGGGCTTTTAAGATCTCTAGTCAGCACTACACCCTAAACCCTAGTAGGTCTAAGCCCTAATAGGTATAAACCCTCACTCTACTGAAGCCCTAAACTGTAGCCCTAGACACAATTTAACCCCAAACTCTAAACCCTAAACCCTAAACCCTAGCTCTGACTAGATCTACACTCCAAAGCCCGCACCCTAAACCCTACACCCTTCATCTAATCCCTAAACCCTAAACCCTAAACCCTAAACCCTAGATGGCGCTTTCCGGGCGCATTAAAGTGGAAGCAAATAATAAGGAAATTAAAACAAATTGGTTTTTAAAAAAGCAATTCGCTTTTTCAGAAATAAAAGAAAAACAAATACACAAAAGAATAAAAAATAACATTTAAATACTCTTGGGGTTTTTTATTTTTTTAAATTCAAAGAATTAAAAAGACCTCCATTTCAGGTGTACGTACACCCCACGGAGTGTATGCACAACTTTGCATTTGTTGCTTTTATTTTTTAATTTCAGTTTCATTTAATTGCAGCCTTTTATTTATTTATTTATTTATTTGTTTGTTAATTTTTATTTTCGGCATAAACTGTACATTGGGATTTACCAAATAATAAATTATTTTGTTTTTCATTTAAATAAATAATTGGCGTTTTATTATTTCAAACTTAATATCATAAATCGCTGCAAAGGCCCGCATGCAAACCAACAAACCCCAAACCCTAAACCCTAAACCCTAATGAGGCCCTTCTCGCAAAGCGTGTGGACCAAAAGCTGGACAAATTCATTTATTTTTTCTTTCTCCATTTTAGGGTTTTCTTTTATTTGCAATTTTAAAGAAGGCGGAGAAGGCAGCAGCAGCAGCTCGCACAAGAAAGTCGAACTGCGCACACGCCCCAAACCCTAAACCCTAAACCCTAAACCCTAAACCCTAAACCCTAAACCCTGAGCCACAAACCGTTGGGTGCCCGAATCCCACAAAACGGAACCAACGGAGGAGCACCCGCGCGGCAACCAAACCGAAACCCTAAACCCTAAACCCTAGACCCTAAACCCTAGACCCTAAACCCTACACCACAAACCCTAAACCCTAAACCCTAAACCTCAAACCCTAAACCCTAAACCCTAAACCTCAAACCCTAAACCCTAAACCCTAAACCCTAGAGACTTGCTCTGATTCATCTGTGGCGTAGAGAAACAGCTTCAACACGTTGCCATCCAAAACCCCGCTCGCCTGAAGACAAACGCAAACCCTAAACCCTGAACTTTAGGTCCTAAACCCTAGACCCCAAACCCTAAACCCTAAACCCTAAACCCTTCTCTTGCAACTGACCATTGTGGATATATTGGCTTCGGCCGCTGCTGCTTCGAGCTGCTCCAGCGTGGGCATCTGCTGCTGCTGCTGCTGCTGCACAGCAGCAGCAGCAGCAGCA